ACTATCCAGACGCTAGAGGATATGCTCAGAGCTCGCATATTGGATAGAGGTGCTAAATGGGAGAAGTGGTTACCATTAGTAGAGTTTGCCTACAATAATAGTTACCACGCATCGATTCAGATGGCTCCATACGAAGCACTATATGGACGAAAGTGCCGTTCTCCCCTTTATTGGGACGATGTTGGAGAAAGTCGAGTTCTTGGACCAGAGATGATTGAAGAGACGGTTGAGCAAGTAGCCTGGATTCGAGAAAGGCTAAAGACTGCTCAGAGTCGGCAAAAGTCTTCAGCCGATAAGCATAGAAGAGAGATGCAATTTGAAGTTGGAGATAAAGTTTTCTTGAAAGTTCGACCGATGCGAGGGGTCGTTCGTTTTGGGAAGAGAGGCAAGTTACATCCTCGATATATAGGTCCATTTGAAGTTTTGGAGCGAGTTGGAGAAGTATCTTATCGCTTAGCATTACCTCCGGAGTTATCAAGTGTGCATAATGTTTTTCACGTATCGATGTTACGTGCTTACGTGTGCGATCCCGAGCATGTGCTGAAGCACAATGAGATTCAGATTCAGCCTGATTTAACTTATGAGGAGCAGCCAGTAGCAGTTTTGGACCGAAAGGTTCATCGGCTCAGGAATCGAGATATTCCCCTCGTTCGTATTAGATGGAATCGCCACGGAGAGTCAAATGCCACTTGGGAGAGGGAAGCTGATATTAGAGCTCGTTTCCCTGAGTTTAAGTTTTGAGGTATGTTTGTTTTTATATTTCCGAGGACGGAAATAATTTTAAGGGAGGTAGATTGTAATATCCCTCTTAGTTATCTCAGTTATTATGAGTTATTGTTCCAAGAAATAAGTGATTTCGAGTCCAAGATAGTGAGATTATTGGACCAAAATTAAGAATTTTTCAAGGAACAAGCCACACGAGTCGTGTGAATAGGCACACGAGTCGTGTGAAGCCACACGAGTCGTGTGGAGAGACACACGAGTCGTGTGGGATGGAGAAGTGATGAAAGTTAGCCTCGGGATTTTGACACGAGTCGTGTGATGAGACACACGAGTCGTGTGACTTAGCTACACGAGTCGTGTGAGATGATGAATGATTAAGAGTAAAAGTGTCGGCAAGCCACACGAGTCGTGTGACACAGGCACACGAGTCGTGTGAGGCCACACGAGTCGTGTGACTGCCCCACACGAGTCGTGTTGCCGACAGTCCAATTGGATTATTGAGAATTCGATTGTGACTTTAACCAAAGGCCATTTTTGATGTTTAAATATGCTTTGGATGAGTGAATAAGTTTATCATAATATATTTTAAGGATTATTTAAGTTTATAAGTTAAATTTTATATTATGATCATTTAATCACTCTATTTGGATGTTTCTCCAATTTGTGCCTATAAATAGAGGCTTAAACCTCAGAGTTTTTACACCAAAATAATTACTAAAGTCATATGAGTTGTAAGAGAAAGTAAGAAGGAGTAATTTTGGAGAAGATAAGGACATTAGAGTGAAGAAATCAAGTTTTTAATTTCACCTAGAAGGAGGTAATTTACTTATCTTAATGTTTCATATTTGAGTTCATGCTTGTATGATAAGTTTACATGTTTATGAGTATGTATATCATGATGTAGAAGTTGGAGTTTATAATTGATAAAATGAGCTAAAGATGTTAAAGATCAATTATGTGATATATGTACTTAATGTAATAAGATGTTGATTTGCATGAGATTTTCATGAAGATATGAATATGCTAGAAAAGTATGATTTAGATGAATAATTCTTATGTAAGAGAAGAGTACATGAGAACAAGAATTAAGTTATTTTGCATAGTATAACTAAAGTTATGAATTTTTGAAAATAAACATGCAATATGAAGTTTATGTTCACTATTGAAGTTAAATTCTCATAACTTGATGAATATGAATGATTAAATTATGAAATTTTGAGGACATGTCTAATTAGAAGTTGAGATTATGACTGTTAAGTTTCATAATTTAAAGATGAGAAATGAATGAGTTATGAATATGAGATTTCATATAGGTGAAGATGAGTATATATATGCAAGAATATTCATGAGATGTTCAAAATGTTAAAATGAGATTTTTATGATCTATTCTCATATGAGTGATGAGCAAATTGATAAAGTTTGATTTAATATGTTGAGTATACAATTTTATAAAAATTTTATTAAGTATGGCATATTAATATTATGATTTGATGTGATGTTTAAAAGATGAATATGATTGAGTTTATTTTCACTTTCAAGATGTAAAAGTGAAAAATGAATACGAGTAAATATGAATGATTTGGAGAATATGATATATGAGGAGTTAAGAAATTGATTGAGTAAAAGATCAAGAAAAGTTAATTTGAGAAATGATATGATTATTGAAATTTCTATAAGATTTGAATGAGTTATCCGAATGAATTGAGAAAAACCGAGCATCTTATTGAGTAAATGAGCATAAGTACTTAGTATATTTGTTTATATATTTTTATGTAGCTTGAGGAGGTTGCTATACGAGAACAACACTTACGAATTTACAAACGACGAAAGGTGGGGACCCAGACTGGGTATTACATTGAGTATAATATTTATATCATGTCCGAGGTATGTAAAAGTTTAAGTTTATACGCTTGGGAAGAAGGCTGATGAGTTGCCTTACGAGTATTTCATAAGTTCTAATGGAGGCCGTTGAGTTGCCTGAGAAATATCCATTAGATTGTGCACAAGTATCCGATGAGATATCGGTGAGATGAAGTTGAGATGCTGGAAGAGTTTTAAGTCCAGTTATATACCGGAAATCATGATATTGTATTATTATTGCTGTTTACTTTAGTATGGGTGTTTTTCGGGGTACAAGAGGATCGTACTCACCCCCATTGTGTTTTTCAGGAAACAGGGTCGGGCCGGAGGTGTGAGCTCGAGACGTTGTGGTGGTGGTGGTGCATTTCAAAGGATTTTTATGAAGTATTCAATAAAGTTTGTATAATAAATCACGCTTTCGATTATTCCGCTACGCACATTGAATATTGAACTTGCATTTTTAAATGAAGTTATGATTTGAAGTTTTTACCATTTTCAATAAGTATGAATATGGTTAAATGCAAGTTTACAGAAAATCTATTTAATTATGTCTAAAAGAGTTATTAGACAAGAGTTTAAAGATGAATGGATTTTCAAGATGTAAGGTTGAGTAGCATCCCGAACTAGTCGCAAAAGATTTCGAAAGAGATATGAGTATTTTCGAAGTAAAAGTTGCGAAAAATTTACTCTGATAAGCGGGGTGTTACAGTGATAATTGATTAATTCGTGTTCATGCTGCAACCATGCCTAACTGTATTGTATATTATTTATTGCATAGTGGTGAGCACTACAATTTCCAACTGTGCTCATCCCCACCTGAAATTAACGTTTCAGGTTAAACAAGGCGGGCACGACGGTAGGATGGCGAGTGGATGATCTCATTTATGTTTAAATTTGCTTTCACTTTATTATGAAAAAGTTGACCCGAATTTATGAACTTGAATTGTTTTTGGGTTATGAACATGTTAATTCCTTTCAGATTATGACGTTTGAAAATGTGAGGAACTGGATTTGATATTTGATTGGTATTGATGAACTAAGTTTAGATATTCATGATGATGTGTTATGTTGAATATCATGTGGAGTTTTATAATTTTGGGACAACGAGGTCCATGTGAAAACCGGAATGAATTCCCGTGAGATTTCAAATATGACTTGAAACAAGATAATGCCCTATTGATGTTGTATTCGAAAAATGAATTTCGAAAATGTTAACTTGATTTTTGAATGAGTCATGGATTATTTATAAAATCAAAGTGGGGCGTTACATATATGGAAGAGGAAAATCGTGTTCATCATATATTTGAGAGTTCGGGAGTTTCGATTAATCGTCCACCAAAATTATTCGAAGTAGTGTAAAAGTCATAAATTAGAAGGCTTTAAGGTACAATATAATCGAGCCTTTAATGTCCATGTGGTTTTTCCGGCGACTAGCCACCATCTACAACCGTCGGAGCCGCCGCCGGAGTTTGCCCGCAGCCGTGCCTAGCAGCGCATTGATCGTCCATGGTTGTGCCCAGTCGCACCCAGCTGTGTCCCAGACCGCACAGCTCGTGCAAAGTCGCGCCGCAGCCCCAGGTGTCCGGCGGACCTCGCCCAGCTATGCGTGCCTGCGTCCCAGTATGCCACCGCGCGCAGACGGCGTCCAGTACTCGTCGCGCGAGATGTTCACGCGTCACCTGTCTTGCAACGCACTCCCATCGCATGGAGTCCGCGCACGCCTTGGTGACGTGCCGCGCACGCTCGAAGACATCGTCCGCGTCCCGTCCGCGCAGGAGTAGGAGTACTGCACGCATACGCGCCCATCCTTCTCGTACAAGCCCGCATCGATATAGCGCCTGCGTGCCTGTACGCGTGAAGGCCACCCGCCAGCGTGTAGATCTCGGCCCAAACGCGAGCGGTCTCGGCCCAGTGAGCCAACTCTCGAATCCAGCAACCAGCCTCAACCCGAGCCGACCCAATCCAGCCCAGACAGGTCCAGATCAGACCCGACCTGATCCAGACTGGCCCAGACCGGTTCAGCCCGGTTCAACTTGTTCCAAAAGACCCAGTTCATGACCGAGACGATTCTCAAGCGGTCCGAGCAGTCCGACTAACTTACCTGAGGTCCGAGATGATCTGTTCGTGATTCAACGATTCGATTAAAATTGAGAAAGGCCAAGTCCGGCAACCCATCGGACTCTGGTGTTCAGACGATCTCCATCAACGGAAATCAAAAACGTCTCAGAGTCGAAAAAATTTCCTAATCCTAGCTATAGATTCCACTGTTTTAGGATTTATTATTCAATATATTTGAATGTGCACATTGCCGATGTTCCTAATAGAACCCAACAGTATTCTTATGACAAGGTGGTTTTACCAGTTTCTCACTCCTTTTATATAATTCTTATGAGCTAGTATTTGCCTGATTCTTCTCGATGTTTTCAAATTGTATCATTTTTTTTTTTGTACTCGACGCAATTAGCAATGAGCCCTGGGGCCCTCATGGGTCATATATAGCCGATATTGCTAATGCGCCAAGAAATTAGTAAGTCTAGATCAAATCAATGTATATATTTCATGATCCCTACTTTATTTCTTTTGTTTTGAAAAGTTACTAATTTGTGAGTTCTAACAGTAACGAGTATCCGATGATCATGTCGGTTATGATACTGGGAAAAATTGGCGGCATGTATACAAAGTTTGCTTCTAATGGTATAAAATTGTTCAATATTGGTTGTACCATGTTTAGTTTATACATGCCCAACCATCAAAGTCAAGTTTGGGGAGAGAAGAAGAAGAAACATGATTTGGAGTGCATCGTCAAAGGCCGCAATGAACCATGTTCTATACGATAGAAAGGAAATGAATGTCATGAAATATAGTGAAATCATGTGTTGTCCTTTCTCATTTTCCTCCTTTAATCTTATGTCGAGTGAAATCATGTGTTGTCCTTTCTCATTTTCATCCTTCAATCTTATGTGAACGACTTGTTGTATAATCTTGCATGTTAGGCAAGTGCTTGAGGTGGAGTTGGCTGTCGATAAATTGCCGAAGTTAATCAGGCTGGCAAAACTGAGTACCACAACACCTGCAGGTTT